AAATTTAGCTAAGTTATCTACTTAGCCAAAATGTACTCTAATACAGTTTCATGGAAAACAATTTTTCCATGGATGGGGAGGTGGGGTGGGGGGAGCTCAGGCGGTGATGCCAGTGATGGGCAATGGGGAATGATAGGGAACGGCTGTAAACGATGAAGCTTTGCTGGCTCACCTGCGGCTCACCTCCTGCTGTGTGCCTTCCCTTTCCCTCCCCAATTCCTAAGTTTCATGGAAGACAGTTTTTCCATGGTGGGGGGTGTTGGTGGAGCTCTGCAGCCTGGTCCCTAACAGGCCACCGACCAATATTGATCCATGGCCCAAGGGTTGGGGACCACAGCTGTAGTAGGCCAGAGCCATTCTTTGTGAAATGTCAAAATGGAGCTGTGGTTTCAGGAAGCTTATAGTTTTATTTTACTCAAATAGAGATGCAGCAATATCTTATTTGCTAAGATCATTTGTATTGATGCCCTATTCCTTTTTTGTTTGTTTCTGAAACTAGTTTTATAACAAATTATCTACATTATTCAGCTTAAAATATCACTCACATTTAATGATGAGCCTCTGTCACTATAACACTGCTATCAAAAAGTTATATCAAAAGAAAAAAAGCATAAGTATATTAAGGCATAAAGAACTTAAGATAATTATGTGAACTTATTCTCAAGTATTTTACATTTAAAGGATTTTACATAAAAATGATTTATTTTTCCCTTGTTTCATGCTTTAAAATTATGTAATTCATGATCTCCAATTTTCAGGTTCTCAAAATCTCAAATCTTAAGTTGGGCACAGTGGCTCACACCTATAATCCTAGCACTCTGGGAGGCTGAGGCAGGAGGATTGCTTGAGCTCAGGAATTCAATACCAGCCTAAGACCCTGTCTCTACTAAAAATGGAAAACTTACACTGGCGTGGTGGTGCACACCCGTACTCCCAAGCAACTTGGGAGGCTGAGACAGGAGGATTGCTTGAGCCCAGGGGTTTGAGATTGCAGTGAGCTATGATGACACCACTGCACTCTGCCCAGGGCCAGAGAATGAGATTCTGTCTCCAAAAAAAAAAGAAAGCTCAAATGTTCCGAGATATAAGCTCTGAAAATATAGCGCCATATATATAAAATATCAGTGAAATTGTTTTTAAAATTAAACTTTTGATTAACTATAAAATAATGGTGTATACATGCATAAACTAATCTTTTCTTAGAAAATTTGGTAACACTCATTTCAGGCATCATCAATTTTTCTTTTCTTAGCCCCTGAATTCTTAGAACCAGATTGTTGAAGCATGTTTGCGGACTTCTTCTGGAAGTTACCTGAATTTTTTCCTTCCTTTTTATCAGGTTGTTCAGAATGACAAGTTTGAGATGGTTCAACCTACAAAAACAATAACAAAGCAAACACCCTAGTAAAAATTCAGCTTTTCTCATGAGATTAATAATTTCAAAATATTCTTTCTGTATCAGTTAACTCTTTAATTAAGTATCCAGGGGTCTAGTTTTTTCTATCCAAATTTCTACTCAGATATAAGCTCTATCTTGAATAAAAGGACTACACTGTCAGAGAATCTCTGGAGAATGCTTGAAGTACCCTTAGACAGTGGTATTTGGCATGCTTTTGCAGACATGATAGTGCTTGGTTTATAACAGTGGTTTTTAACCTCTGGAGCAGCACAGATTTCTCAACCAGTGCTGGTCACAATCAATACTAAGAGAGCAGGGTACATCACAAAATCGTATATTAAAATGGAGTCCTCATATTCCAAGAAGCTGGAAACCCTAGTCTATGTTATAAGGCTAGTCTAAATTTTTCCGCTCACTATCTCCACTGAAAACAATGTTATATTTTCTCCCTTCCATACCCAGAATCTAAGAAGAAAACTGGTTTATCTATTCTTGGGTTCAACTGGACCTGGATGCTTTTTCCCATAGTCTTTAATATATTTTTTTAAATACACAAAACTGGAAATTAATAGGCAGTCAGTTACCCTGAAACAGCTCTGGTCGGGCCTCTCTCTTTGCATAGTAATAACATGGTCCTCACTGTTCAGAAGATTAGCTTTAGGTCCTATTTTCAAATACGAAATGGTAGCATAAGCTGTAAAACTGTAGTCTTCTCTGCAAAAGATACAGGCCACAATCAGAAAGGAGTCTCCTGAAGGAGTTACAGAAAACAAACTGAAATTTACAAAAGAAATAACTGTGCAATAATTTTAAATAACACATTGATTTGAAATAATAAAACTTTAAGAATGCAAATATAATCTATAGAAAGTATTTTAGTTTTGTTCTTTTTGAACTTATAGTATCAATTAAAGTTTATTAGGTAATTATTTTCTATAGCATTTAAAAGTTCACATGAAATAAATGCAAAACCATTTATTCTGTTGCAATTAAAAAAGAAGAAACAATCATACAGACAACTTGGAAGGACAAGAAATGGGTTTGTATATACTTAAGATACTGCTGTAGAAGAAAGTGTGTAATAATTTTCTCCAGGTCTTCACGAGGAAGTGTGGGAGGAACGACACTTCTTACTCTTAATTTCGCTACACCCTTTCCCATCCAAGAATCAATCAGTTTCAGTGGAGTGAGTTTTTCATCCAGTTCCTCTGCCTGCTTTAGGATCTTGATTAGATCTCTGCAATACTCTGTTACATTTTTTCTTTCAAATGCTATAATGAAACAGACATGGATACAGGCAATTGGGATTTAGAAATGAAAGCAAGGATAGGCTATCCTAAGTAGTTAAACTGGCTTAAAACTAGTTAGTTATCAATGTAAGCCACCCTAAACATTGAAGTTTTTTATAACGCGTTTTGAATTAAGACTAAGCTATGCCTCAAGTCTCTGTCATTAGACCAAGTTACAGTTTCTGCAATACATTGTGGGGTTTATAGTGATGTGAAGAAAACAATCTGGTTGTCACAAGGCCTGCCATATGCCCTACAAATCACAGTGTCCACCAGACATAATTACTAAGTTACCAAGAGGTATGTTTTATAGGGGAGCCAATCTATTCCTCATAGTTACTTACCTGATTGGTGCTCATTAACAAAAGTCCTGAAAACTAGTATGGGGTCCTGTGTACTCTGATTTAGCAACAAGAATGTCCTGGACAGATATCCCCAACTATTAATTAAGAGACAAGCACTCTGATTTATATATCAGACTCTTGTTAATTTGGTCAGCAGAAGATAGTCTAATAAACTCACAAATTTATTTAGCCACAAAGTTAAAAATGTAGTGGTGTCTACCCACCAAGGCATCGGAACTCAGGTCTTGCATGAGGAACCAGCTAGTCCAGCTCTTCAAATATAATACATACACACAGGATGAAAAAAAGTTAAAATACAGTGCCAAAAGACTGCTCAGTTAATTTCTTATGAGTAGACAACCATTATCCGGACCAAAAATGATTCACTATAATCTCTATTTTGCACTAAATTTTCTTCCTAATCAGTGACTATAAAGTATTAGGGATTATCATAAGATAAGCCTTTTCTTATATAATGACATTTCTATTCAGAGGAATTATTTTCTTTCATTTCTTAAAAATTTCATGTCCTCAGTATAGCAAAATAAAATGTGTGCGTACGCATGACTTTTCCTTTTATTTATCTTTGTTTCAAAATTTCATGTTGTTATTTTTGAATCTGGAAAATTCTATTCACACTTCGTTAAATATTTTAAGTCCATTTGGAGGTATAATACTTCCCTCCTGTAGTCCTAGCTGATATATATAGTCTTGCGCCACATAACTGTTTCGATCAACAATGGACCACATATACGTTGTCCCATGAGATTATAAAACCAAGTTTTTACTGTACTTTTTTATGTTTAGATACATAAATACTTACCATTGTGCTACAACTACCTACAGTATTCAGTACAGTAACACACTGTACAGGTTTAAAATGTAGGAACTATAGGCTTTACCACATAGCCTAGGTGTGTGTGGTAGGCTATACCATCTAGGTTCATATAAGTACACTCTTAAGATGTTTGCACAATGAAATCACCAAATGATGCATTTCTCAGAACATGTCCCTGTAGTTGAATTATGTATGACTGTATTAGCCTATAAAGGTTTAAAAAACAGTGAACTCACAAATATCTTTACAGCAGTTATCACACATTTTGTTACATGCTTCTGAGTTCCATACTTCATCAAAATGTTGAGCTATCAATACACGGCGACATCTGCAAACACATTTAGAGATACAAATTATTAAATCTAATAAATTTTTAAGAATCCGTATTTCAGAATACAGTTATATACTGTATTAGTTTCCTTTTGCTGCCATAATATTACCACAAAATTGGCAGTTTAAACAACAAATTTACTATCTTACATTTTTATAGTTTAGAAGTCTAATATAGTTCTCACTGGGTCAAAATCAAGGTTTCAGCAAGGCTGGCTTTCTCCTGGAAGCTCTAGGAGAGAATCTGTGTCCTTGCCTTTCCGGTTTCTAGAGGCTGCCTGCATTCCTTGGCCCTGGTCCCCTTCCTCCATCTTCACAGTCAACAACAGTGGGCTGAGTCCTTCCTACGTCACATTAATCTGACCTTTTCTGCTGCCTCCTTCTGCTTTTAAGGACCCATGTGATTACATTGGGCCCACCCTGATAAACCAAAATAATCTAAATTCCATCTGCAACTTTAATTTCCCTTTACCATATAAGGTAAAATATTCACAGGTTCTAGGGATTAGGACATGGACATCTTTGGGGAGACCATTCTGCCCACCACATACGATTTTGTTTTCATATGCTCTTGATAAACACTGCTGAAGAAACTGAGTTTCCTTTTTAAATTCAATATTTTAACTATTAGGAGAATATTCTTGACAGTAAAGCAGTTTCTTATGTTTCAAAATATCAATATTTGAGTCTGAGCCCCAAAATAAGCTTCATGAGAGTTGTCTTTTGGGCCTTTTTTTTTTCCTTTTTGGAGACATGGTCTCACTCTGTTGCCCAGGCTGGTATGCAGTGGCATCATCATAGCTCACTGCAACCTCAAGCAATCCTCCTGCCTCAGCCTCCAAAGTCGCTGGGACTACAGATATGCACCACCACACCCAGCTAATTTTTTAATATTTTGTAGAGACAGGGTCTCACCACGTTACCCAGGCTGGTCTCAAACTCCTGGCCTCAAGAAATCCTCCCATCTCCATCTCCCAAAGTGATAAGACTACTGGCATGAGCCACTGTGCCCAGCCTCTACTGGGTTTTTAAAGAAACTTTCATTTTTTCTTTTCTTTTAACTAGATTATTGTAACATCTATTGGAAAGAAATACTACTATCACTGTCCAGTTACTGCTACCACTGCAACATTTTTGAGCCCTTCTTAAGTGATAAGCAACACGAGTGCAAAGATGACTAAGACCGAGGATCTATCGGGAAGCTATGTAGTCTAATTAAAAGCCACCTAAATAGATTTAAACTTATTTAAGGAAAAACTTTACCCTGCACTCAATTATCTCATCGACATACTAGCTGGTAGGATGGCACATGTTACTGAGTTTGACATTCAAAATGCCTATCTTATCATATACCTTTTCAAAATTATCAAAAGCATGTAGCTATATACCAGTGCCAGAGAAAAAAGGGTTCGACTCATTGTGTATCAAAACCTTCAATAAAAAAAAAATAGTTTTGGAGGATTATCCCAAAGATAGAGCATCTTTTCTTGCATTAAGGCAGGTCATGCAGGTTCATATACTGGTTCCCACTCTCAGACATCTGCTTTTATAGATGTGCACTTTGGTGTTACACTAATATATTTAGTAAGTTCTCAAAGCAACGTCAACAGTTTCCTATCAGACTTGTCTTTAACTGAAAAAGTTATTAAAAGGTATGTGGCTTACTTGCTTATGTTTTGACAGTATGATACCATCTCATAAAGCTTCTGCTGTCCCACATTCTCCATCACCACCATTGAACTTACTCTGAATATATCTCCAAAGCCATAGTACAAAATACAGTCAGCTTTCATGTCATCTCGACCTGTGGTGTGAGAAATTTTCAAATTGCATAATTGCTTTTAAAAATTCAAAACATACAAAAAAATAACGTGTAAAATGAGCTGGCAATGCTTCATACAACATGTAAAAATTTTAGAGATGGGACATTAATTGGTAACAGCTACCCTCAAATTTAAAAAAAAATGACTAAAGAGACTTACCAACAATCAGCTTTATTAAGTTAAAAAATTGTCTATAAATAATCCAGTTATTTAAGTTACAGATTTGAAACCACTAATTCAAAATTCAGGAGACAAATATGAACATCAAATTATCTTAGCACACAAAGAAACAATTCCTAACAATAGAACCTAAGTAAAAATTTCTCCATATTTAAGTATGAAACTGCTAAGAATTCATTATTCTAAAAATACTATTCAATAAAGAGGATTAAAAATACAGAATTACTAAACGTTTCTAATGCATTTTCTGGAAAAGCTTCAAAAAAATTCTGGATTTAAGTCCTACATACCTGCACGTCCACTCTCTTGGTAATAATTTTCCATGGATTTACTTATTGAATGATGAATAACAAACCTCACATCTGGCTTATCGATTCCCATACCAAATGCAACTGTTGCCACCATTACCTAAAATATTTTAACATTTTATCAGTTAAGTAAATCAAGTTTAAATATTTTTAAAGACATATTAGGCTTCTATTGAGGATATATACTTAACCTGAATTTCATTGGCTGCCCAACCTCTATGAACCTTGGTCTTAACTTCCGGCTCCATATTAGCATGGTAAACACCTGCATGAATTCCCAAATTCTGTAAACTAATTGTAACTTGTTCAGAGTCCTTCTGAGAAAAACAATATATGATTCCTGCAGTAAAATATGTCCAGTTGTTAGATATGTATGGTATGTTCCTGGAATATAATTTTCAATACACACATACTCAAGACACTGATTAATACAATGCACAGGAAGGAAAAGAGTTATGAAAAATGTCAAGACCTTGGACATACACTAATGTTTTGTTATAATGTAAGGTTTGATCCCCAGCTTGCTCTAGAGCAGACATGAGCACTGGGCCACCAGTTTTGTTCCCATTACCCATTTTCTTTCCTCAACTTTATCTCCCACCACATAGTGTTTCCCAAACTGATGTCCATAAGGTGTTAACAAGTGTGCTGTGTGCAAAACGAGTCTCAAGTTCAAATAATGAGCTTGGGGAATACTGTATTGAATGCAGTTAAACAGGCTTCTCGATTTTCAGGGCTGGCCAGAGTTTCCAATGTGCTAATACCCCCTGTGACTCACCAGGTGGGATAAACAGCTGCAGCCTTTCTCAAAACTTACTTGACCCTGGAACTTCTTTTGCCCAGGACACCCATTACTATCTCCTGAAAGTCTATAGGACAGTTTGAAATGCTACTTTTACACAAACTCTGCTTCACTATTATCTGTCCAGTCATTAGTCCTGGAACACATGTATATATATATACTCAATTCCATCTATGCTTAACCTATGCAATATGTACTACTGAATTTATTTCTTTAATGTGTCCTTTACTGTAAGGGACTATATTTTATATCCCTTTAGAACATTAGTTGCTTAACCCTCTATCTCATACACAATGGATACTTAACTAAATATGTGCTGTTGACAATCACCATTATGTCATCAGATCCATTCTAAAGGAATTAAGTGTAGATAAACAAAAATAAATCAGACAATTTAAGACTTATTATCTGTGGCATAAGCAAATGTCACACCCAGTTTCTTATGATTCACCAACTGAATTAATTTTATCACATTTTCACGTATCTTCTGCCATATGTTAATATTTTTTGGTGTTATTCATTTATCAGTCTAATTATCAGTGTAATATTAGTTACTTTTTGAAAGTTATCTCTCTGTCTCTAAAGTTGGCTTGTTTTTATATTACCTGATTGCCCTTTGTATCTCCCATTAACGAGCTTTACAACATCCTCAATAAAATCTTCCATGTTTGAGGGCTTCTGCCGAACCTAAAAAAAAGTTAACTTATTAAATTAAAAAGTAAATGAATGAGTACCATCCAAGTAGCCATCTACTTACAACGTCGAGGTGCGGTTCTTTCATGAGCATAGTGGGTTTTTTTTTATTACTCTTTCACTTGTGTCATAGGACTCAACCCATCTGACTCATCCCTGCCACCTCCCAGACTCTCTTCTTGATCCTTATTTTTTAACTTACCAGAGAGGAGGAGCCACAGAAGCAGTGAGTAACTAGTAAGGATGGAGACATTTTTATTTTCTGGTGCTACTTTTATGGAAACCAAAACATAAATAACCCTTCAAGGAAAACTCAAAAACAGATTAAATCTATTCTTAAAGGAGTTTAGAAAGAATGAAAAGATAGCTGTTATCTTATTTTCAAGTTTATGTATCAAAATCTAAATAGAGAGTCTTGGCAGATCCTTAATGGCATATTAATATTTCTATTACTTGGTAACTAATTTCAGCGGAGATGTCATTAGGGTCCTTGGTATCACTCCACCTTTTCTATCCTTGCACAAAAAAAGGATGCACGTATATTTAGTAAATATATGTGACTTGCTCATATCTTTTATAAAAGATAGTATATCACCTAACAAGACAGTGTGTTCTATTATTTAACCTAACAAAGGACAGCACATAGAAATATGCAGCACAACAGATAAAGGAATAAAGCACTAATTAATGAATCTGCTTATAATTACCTCGTAATGTTAAAAACTTTTATATATATAGTTAACGGTTACTCATGTAAATAAACAATCAAAAGGTAGAAGCTCTCTGCTGTAATTCTTCACCAAAGAAATGAATTGGCATAAAAGTTACATACCTCATAATAAAGATTTGGCCGATTAAAAGAAGCAGTAAAAGTAAAACAATTTTCAACACCTAAAATTTTCTGAGCATCCTTCAAAACGTGGTTTGTTGCAGTTGCAGTCAGCCCAATTAGTGACGTGTTAGGGAACTGCCGCTTCAATATACCAAGTGACTTATAATCTGAAAACACAAACAAAGTGACCCTCTTTCTATCCTTTGAGGATTAAATTATACCTTTTAACATTATGAAGATAATCAATGTCTACTATAATTTTATTTCCATAGCCATCTATACCAGTAAATTTGAAGTTGCCTCCTAGCCTTTTTGAATAAGCAGGCTTCATTATACTTTTTTTCAGAAACATTGTTCTTGGCCACAGGTAGAACTAGAGGTTGAAGATAGGGAATACTAGACATTCCATCAAGCTATGCACTGGTCTACACCTGCTGAACAGTGGGTTAAAAAGACAGTGGGAATAGCCATCGTGTTTGAATATATTACAGCCGACTAAAGATAAAAGAAGCCATCATCCAAAACCCTTCTACCACTTACTGTCATCCAGGAGTGGCAAGTTCGAACCAGAAAAAGCTTGGAAAAGGCACTGCCTTTTATATAACCTAATTCAGGAAAACCATTTTGGGCTCACACTTGTCATATACATCTAAAGCACTAGATAAGTTGTCCTAAATCTCCCTTAAGTACTTAAACTATTTGGATGAAAGTGAAAAAGAACTGTGGTAGACATTGCTAAGTGCTAAGGTTGAGGACTACTATGAAAATGAAGGGGAAAAGGCAACTGCTTGGGAAGTTGTGAATGTTTCAAGAAGATAATATTCAAGTTTAGTCTTAAAGAAGGAGCACAAGTTCACTAGGAAGGGAAGAAGAGGAACATCCGGGAGAGGAAACTGCATATACACTGCAAATACATTGAGGTGAAATTGCTCAGGATGTTTAGATAACAGCGAGCAGTTCGGTGGGGCCCAGTCACAGGGTGTTGTGCTGGATGGATCTATCGTCCAATCCATTAAGCTGGGAATTATGTGTCCCAGAATCCCCTTCACTGTCAGGTTACAAATCAGAGCTGATCCAAAGGAGAAACTTGTGCAAGATTTGGAAGGCAGAAGTGGGCCAGCTGCCCTCACTCCTTGAAGGTCTTTCCGGGCAGACAGGATGATGGGCAGAAGTGCCCAGCCAGTTCTAGCTCACTCTAGTTCTTTTCCACTCCTCGTTCAGCACTTCCTCCTAACTGCAGTCCTTATCGATCAACAGCAGACCCATAGACGTGATAGCTACTCAGAGGAAACAGCTTACCAGCAACCTTTCCACAAAATTCCCCTTCATGGTCCCCCTTGGCAATGAGCATGCCAGTTGCAGATTCCCCAACAAGCTCTGGTTTGTCTGCACCAGTGCTTCAGGATCAGTCAGCGACTTTTCTCTGATCCTGCAACTCATATTGGGATATGGAGGTGGCACGGGTGGTAAGGTGGAGAGAGGAAGAATCCTAGATCCATCCATTCATCAATAGGTAAATGTTGAACGCTTTTTTGATTACGTGCCTAGCATGTCTCTAAGCACTGGAGATAAAACTGTGAACAAGACAAAGATGCTATGCAAATGTAGCTATAATTCAAGCAAAACACCAGATAATACAAAGAGTAAACCAATAAATACGCTATTATCATAGGGTGGTAAGTGCCCATATGATAAGCTCAGTGCAGCTAGAGCTTAATGAGTGAGAGAGGAAGAATCAGGTATACAAACAGGAACAAATCACATAGTACCGTGAGGGCCCCAGTGAAGAACTCTGGATTTTATTCTAAGCACACGGAGAAGTTGCTGGGTAGTTTAGGTAGGGAACAAAAATGATTTGATTTATATTTACAAAAGATCACTTTGATTGCTGTGTGGAGAATGAACTATAAAAAAAGGGCAAGACTGGAATCCAAGACTAGGTAGGGTCTGCTGCTGCAGTAGACCAGAGAACAGGAGCCCAGCTGGACTTGAGAGACAGCAGTACAGACAGAGAAGTGGCTAAACTTGAGATTCATTTGAGAGGTAGAGCCGGCAGCACTCAGTGGTGGACTGGACCTGCAGAGGTTGGATAAATTAAGGATGATGTGTCATATACTAGGTTGTTTCTTCTCAGCTCCAACTCTACCCTTCTATACTCTGCTTTGGGATGCTGGAGCAGGGACTCTACACACTGCACGGCAGCTTTGCCAGCTGGCCCTAGAAGGCAGACTCCAAGGCTAGGGGAAGAAGAAGGGTGTGGCTCCTTCCCGTTTGCTTCCTGCAGGCTTGCTTGTGTTCCCGTGACTGTCAGCCCAGCAAGAGTTCTCATCCCTGTAGCAGCACTGTCTGTCCTTAGGAGCAGCTGAATATGGTTGGCAGTTTTCTCAGCCTTGGAGTACCAGCTTTATCACAAGTCCACCCCACCTCTGCCCGTACCAGGAGATTCCAGCACCGGGGAGCCATGTCTCCTCACAGGTCTGCCAGTTCCACGGGGCCCCTCCTTTCTTCCGGTTGCCCCAGCCCTACAGATGGTAGTTGCTTCTTCCCGTTTTTAACTCCACGGTATCTTCGAGTTTTCTTTGTATTTTTTCCATTATCTGTTTAACCACTTTTTACCGAGTTAACAATTCTTTATGTCAAATTCTTTGTGTTCAAATAATTCATATGGTTTCTGTCTCCTGACTGGACCCTGAATGATAAAGACAATAGCTAAAATTTTGACTTGAGCAAATGCGTGAGTGTTTGAATAATTTTCTAAGGGAACACTGAAGGGGAAACTGCTCAGAAGGAGTGGGGCGAAGGAGAAAGGCAGGAGGAGGGAAGAAAATCAAAAGTTCTTAGGACATCGAGCAGAGTGATGGGAAAAATAGTAATGCCCGGTTGCATAATAGAAGGGAAGAGAGCAGTTCTTTTGGGGGGGATTAGATTTGGTCCCGCTAATTTAGATACACATTTCCAATAAACAGGAATATAAATTGGAAGGTCAGAAGTAAGATAATTAGATATGGGAATAATGTTTCACAGCTTGGCAGCAGATCCACAGAGACTATGCAAGTCAAGGTAATATATAAGCAATGGTAATAATTCTAAGGCTGCAAAAACGGGGCAAGAGTAATAAATCAGGTACCTTCGGGGGACACCAGGTAACAACTGTATCAAGTAATCTGGTTAAGATAGTGGGGTCCTTAGTAGAAAGGAAAATAACATCCTAAGGCATTTAAAGCAAATTAAAAAAAAAATAATAATTCTGAAGGCAGAGAATTCAGTCTTCAGGCCCCAAGCTCACTATCCCTGGAGAAATGTAAGAAAAGGTAACAACTGAGATCAGAACCCTAGAGAACACTAACATTTAAGGAGAAGACAAAGGAAGAAGAGCAAAAGAGATGGGAATGGAAGGGAAGAAATTCAAGAGTGTTACACTGTAGTAACCAAGGCAGGAGACAGCGGCAAGGTGAGGGTAGATGTCCGAAATGCTATTGAAGTTAAGTGGGAAGAGGAATGGAGATGACACCACTGGATTAAGCCACTGGTGG